CTTGCGCACTGAGATCACGGCATCGGGATGCTTTTTCAGATCGACCATTTTCATGGCCACGGCCTCTCCCGTCTGACGATTGATAAGCAGCTTGACTCTGCGCCAGAAAGATAAGATTTCTCTTTAATTTTGCTGCGGGAAAATTTGCCAGTGCATTTGAAATCCCCCCGCCTGCGTCTGCTTTGTCTCGTGTGCCGAGACTGGTTAGTGCACTGCTCCTGTTACCACTTCCGATGCCTCATAGTTGGGGCATGCGCACCACAAAAACGAGCTTCGGAAATGGATAACTGGGCGGCAGCAGCAGCAGCAGTAGCAGAGAGTGCCTTATACGCCGGAAAAGTGAGTTCTTTTTTTTGGCCTCACAGCATTTCCGGTTTATTGACTTCAGCACACGCATACACTGGGCGGGAGGGAGGTGGGACGTGTGTAATGCATTACAATGCAGTATTGCTTTGATTTTGGATGCACTGCTGCCACTTACTCGCCATAGGCACCTTCGCCTAGGGTCTGCGCCAGCGTCCAGCCCTCCACGAATTCACGGGTCGCCGAAGTCGCTGCTGCGTTGGCAGCCATGTCCCTTGATTAGGCGTACAATATGCAGCCTCTTAGATATCCTGTCTACGTATCTTGTCCTAACTGATGTCGCCATGTGCCATTATCATCTGTTTGCCATGCGAGCGAGCGTGGACAGCGTCGAGCTGCAAGCAGAAAAAAAACATATATATATATAATAAAAAAAAAAAGACGACCATTAATAAAAACTACTTTACTCATGATACGATGCGTCGTGGTTCGCAACCTCAAAGTTTCACTGCCATTCACATATACGATTAAATAAAACTCCGCCAACAGCCAGTACATTCACCTACCCTCAGACACGGACACGGACACAGGCACAGCCACGGACACGGACACGGACACACGTATGTATTTTGGGGATGCTGCAGTTCAACTTCGTGTTGTACAAACGAAAGGAAAAAAGCCAACTTTTTATGCTTCTTTAATATTTCATCTTTTGGTATGGTCATGGTTCGCTCGCTCATGCAGCCACACCGACCGGCACATGCGCTGTAGAGCTAGCGAAAGAGTGCTCAGTTAAGGTATATACATATGCATATATATATATATATGTGAATAAATATATACACATGCAATGTGTTTAAAAGGTTACAGAAGATAAGAAATATTTGACAATATTTAATTGAGATCATCTATGCTTTTTATTAATACGCCATGCCAATTTCTCTCCAAGTGTCTCTAAATCAAATCCTTTAAGCAACCATCGGCAAAGCCATCCTTTTGAGTGTACTTTTCCCTATATATATATATATATACTATTCAGTTCACTTAACTTGCTATAAAAAGCTTGAGCTCTTGCTGTGATTCTCCGTTTAAGATGCTGTCATGAACGCAGAGACAAAAAACAAAGCATCGAATCCTTTTGCCGTTCTCTTGGGATGATGCCAAGACTCTTAGACGAATGTTGGGCTGCGACAGCGTTTTTTTTTTCCTGCCTGCTGAAAAGCTCATGCTGTTTTCAATGTGGCTCGTTCAACAGGCCACCATTCAGCCTTTGTTTATAATACGAGGAATATTGTATATGTACTCCCTTTATATTTAACAGGCTGGCATTTGTGGCGCATAGTCAAACAATGCCAGTACAGTCTAGATTGGGATACTGAAAGGCCCCTCTGCGAATCCTAGACACGGGCTGATTTCTAGCCTTAGTATGGAATGTGGAATTTTGTGCTTAACCTCTCAAGCCATATTTGACAAATTGAAATCTATTGTGGCTAATGAAGCCTAAGAATCAATGCTTGGTATTGGGCAAAGGGTTACCTGGAGTCGTTGAATGTGATTTGGAAAATCACTTTCAACAATCAATTTTCTGAGTTTGTAGTGAAATCTGTTTTAACTAGGTTTGTGAAATCGAGTTTATACAGAGATTTTTTTTGGGTTAATATATTCTCTATAAGTATTTCGAATCATTTTTAAATTGAATGAATATCTGTGGTAATCATTTTTAATTAAATGAATATCTACTGCAAAAAAATACTTTGCAATAAGCTCGACGATCACTGTTGCTTATTCCCCACCCTGCCCCCTCTCCCCTTCATCCAGCGGGAAACTAGTCGCCTAGCAACAGCGAGAAAAGCTCGTACTCAGGCTAGGCCTAGGACAGGAACTGGCAAGGCAACTGTATGTATATTGTACACAGCGGGACGGCGGCTGGCACTAGGAATGGAGACTGTGAGACATTGCCCCGCCGCCTGTCGATGAAGTTAAGCAAATACGAGTTTCGTCAGTATTTTTATTTGAGCACCGGTTTATTTTTATGCGCCCTGCCTGTACATGAAGCGGCTCCTGCCACTCTAGCCCCTTGCCCCGGAACAACAAATGCAGAAATGAACAAAAAAAAAAGGAAAAGATTTTGTATGGTTAGGACAAAATACACAACACTCGGTTGGCGGCTGCGGATAAGGAGCGAGAGACAGGTATCAAAGCTGTGGCCGGGACGGAGATGGACATATCAAGCTGGCAGATACGACAGACAAGCGCAGCATGAAAATACCAGCCCAGCCAGTTTTTTTTTTTTTTGTAACCTCTCTTCGATTTTTTTTTTTTTTTGTTCGTCTCATAGCAGGAGCCGTATGCAGCCACGTGTGCAGAAAACTTGCTAAATAAAGTTTAATTTGAATTTCATTAACATTGCGAATTTACCAAGATTGGATGAGAGGCAACGCCTCCAGCCTTCTGTTTGCAGTGCAGGATGAATTACGATTATCCTTCGCCTTTGAGACGCGCGCGCGTGTATTGCATCTGTTCTGAGAGTATAGAGTATTCGCGCTGCGCGGCCCGTTTTTTTATGCTTCGCATTTTTTACTTAATAACGGACGGCTGGGGTATCCCACCACCGATTAATGTTAATTTCTCGGAGAGCGCTTGAAGTCACAAAAACTCACTTAAGATTGCCGACTGCCGACGCGTAAGACACACACACACACACACACACATACATATAAGCCCGGTCGGTGTGTAGGTAGGTGTAAGGTAGCGTTTTACTTAGTATGTATCTACACGTTAAAAGTGCCAAAGTGCGTCGTTGTCGAACCTTTATGCGACTATTGTGGATCGCAATCAACCTGTGCACTGGTTATTCTAGTTGAACTCTATTTAATACTCTTAATCCAAAATGGCCAAACACACACTGTCGCTATCCTGTAGCCTACAGCGGCTCGTCCTGGGCAAGCGTTAAAACCAAACTGTGAGCAGCAAATGCGCCCGATACATGAACATTTTACAATCTGCATGGCATGGACCAGACCAGACCAGCCAACTCGAAACTTCCAGAGCGAGGCGCCGAGTTTAGCAATTGAGCGTGAAAGAGTCACAAAGAGAGCGAGAGGGAGATACAGAGAGCCGCAGAGAGCGTTATATGACATATTGAGAGCGCGTAGGAGCGAAAGCTTACGCATGCGCGCCAAAATGTTGGAAACAACCAACTTTTGTCGGCATTCGGTGGTTGACGCAACTCTCTCGCAGTTCTCGCAGTCGCCTCAAACAGCTTCCTAGCAAAACTTACAGCTCTTAAGTTTAAAGAAGCAGCTGGCACTAACTCGCCGACGGAGAGAGATGCGGCGGCACCAACAACTATAGCCGGTGAGAGCGAAGCTATTGCTACGCAGGCGATAGCCGGTGAGTGCAGGGCTGTTGCTTCTTTTTGTTCTTCTGCATCTTTGGCCGTACACATATACATACATACACATGCTTTTGCGTATACATACATATACATATGTATGGGTACATTTTATTACTCTGCTGCATAGTATTCCCTTACAGACATCGGAGTTGTTCTGCGACGTGTTCGTCAATGTGGTGTGTAAAAGAGTTACCATTCCCGCTGTTGACCAGTGGACCTATGTTATTTGTAGATGGCCTTAAAATAGAAGCTGTTCCCAGTAATCGGTAACAAATGAAAGTCGAAAAACTAGTGTATAGTTTCGGCTAATGTCCGTCTTGCAAGTTTGTTTTCAATTGTCGATAATTCCAATTCCAAGGAATCGATAGAGCTATCCTGTTTTCATTTAGCATATGTTGAAAGATATATGAGCTAACGGCATAAACGTTTAGTTAAATATATATATAGAGAGTATAAGTACTTAAACGTCCATCTCGAAATCCTTTTCACGATTTTGTTGTGGGAGTATATAAGAAACTACATAGCAAATTTGGTCACCAAGCACCTGAAAGGTATAGACTTGCAAAAAAAAAAAAAAAAAAAACTCAATTTCGATATCGATTTTTATCGAAATATTCGAAATGGGATAAGATGATTTCTAGCCTCTAGCTCTTATAGTTCCCGAGGCAGATAAGTCGGAGACGTCTCCTTCTGCATGTTTTACGCATTCGGCAAATTCGTCAAACATTGCAATATAAACATATGTTAAACTATATTTCAGTGAAAGAATTTGAAAATGTTTATGCGGCATCTCGGGATAGCTAAGTTACATTTTGTGTGTGGGGTTAGAGGGTAACCATTAGTGCATCATCCTCGACGTGATCGATTTTACTTGGGTTTTTCTTGATGTCAAGCGTGGCTGAGATGCTGCTGACTAATTTATAAGGACCACGATGTCTGCTACGTAGATATTTATATGCATATAATTTGCACAGACATGCATATATTTATGCGCATGTGTGTAAATAGACAGTCGTCAGGGTAAACAAGTTGCAGGCATACATCCATTCATATGTACATACTTACGTAAACGAGTCCCGAGACTTGTCCGACAGTCTTTAAATACGTAAAATGCTTCGTTGTCAATATTTAAAAAGAGGTGCCTTGTTTTCAGCCCCGAAACATAAATGCAAATAAATATTCTATGGAAGAATATTTCAATTTACAGCTGGATAGTTTTTTACAAAAGTCAAAAGTCTGATCAATTCTTAGAAAGTTTTTGATTTCTAAGCCTTACTCTTTAACAAATATACACAATATCTCATGATCAGAATACTGTATTATACAGCTTTTATAGCGACAATTGAAAATGGATTTTTTGTACAATAGCAAAGAGAAAGTAGTGTCATTAATCTTTTATCGATTCCCCCTACAGATAAGATTTAGCTTATATAGAAGGAGCATTATATAGCCTCTTATTTTGGCCTAAATGTCCTTACAAACAAAACAGTTTGCGATTAACTGTTCTCATAAATTCTTTGAGATACGATGGAATATATACATTTTATGGAAACATTTTGCGAATTACAGATTTTATGACATTTTTATACATATTTTTATTTAAATATAAGCGCCATAGAGAAAAGGGTATTTTGTCATCGACCTGCCGAATATGGCTGTTAATTCCTGTAATCAGCAAATTTCAAATGCTTAATTTGTTTCGATGAGAAGATATGTTTAATCATATATACATATATATATGTCGACTGAGGCACTGAGAATTTGGCTTGTGGGAATGGTCTTAAAAGATTTTATTAAATTTAGCTTTGTCTTACATAAAATTATTTACTTCTTTTCAAAGCTTGACATAATATTGATTGACCACATCATTTAAAAACTTGAAAATATTTGTGATCAGTTCCACAACCAAAAGCAATTAACAATTTCAGCACGAGCAATTAACGAACGAAAGGAACTTTCATACGAAAGGTTAGCAAAATAAAAGGTTAAACATAATAAAAAAAAAAAAGAAGAAAAGTTCGATATACCCTTAACTCGACAAGACACGCAAATCCTTTGCTCTTATCAAATTTTAATGAGCATTTTTGGACTTTTTAAGTTAATTTACTTTTTCTATCATTTAATGGCTTCAACTTGTTAAAACACAAGTTTTTCAATTTCGCCAGTTTTATTAATATCTACTATTTAATTGCCTTAAGAGGCGAAAAGAAATTTAAGACCCCATTTATAGCTATTCTATATTAAGTTTATAAATCACATTACTTTAGGTTTCATTTAAGGCTTCATGTTCTCTTTCCATGCTGTAATACCCGATATGTATTGTAGATTATATCACTTGATAATGGGTCCTCCTTATATCGCCTTATAGACAAGGTCGGCTCTTCGTTGTTGCCATCTGATGTCGCTGACTCTGCGACGGACGACTTCCTCTAGTCTTTTTGGTTTTATACGGCTTAGGAGTGTTCAGTTTTGGTTCCAAGGTTTCTTCGAGTAATGTATAGGGAATCTCGTCGAAGCCTTGGTCGTCTTGGCTGCTGTCCGTTTCCTCAATATCCGAGTTGGCAGTGGTATAAATGCTTGCACTGCTACCAGACTCGGATGCTCGAGGGTTGTTAGTTCCGCCGCTTGTTGCCGAGCTATAGCTTGAGTTACTCATCTTGCGTGTCTTGCCCGGCTCAAAATACTGCGGATCCAGGATTAATGGGAAACTTCGACGACCATTTCGAATCACGTGAATGTTGCTGTGTGGCAAAGATTCAGTTTTTGGAGGCGCCAGCGAGCCATCAGTCATGGACATCATGCCAAAATGTCGCATCATTGCAACCGCCTCCTTTTCCACGGTGCTTGTGTCGTCCCAATCTGACATGGTCGCGTGTTCACCTAACGGCTTGGTTCCAGCTATCTGCTGTATACGCTCCATCATGGCCAGACTGGCGCAAATTTCCTTCGATTTTGAGCTGTGCGATTTTTCTATCTCCTCGTTGCGCTTTTGCCGATTCGCGAGATACTCGTAAGTCGATTTTGGACGTGGAGTATACTCCTGCTTCCGCTTTGCTTCGTATGCTAGCTGTCCATATATAAAATTGCAATTTGGATCTAAGTCGACCAAATCGTCCTCAAAGTTTGTCGATGGAGCCCAGGCCATATTAGCGCTGCATATGGGTATTGAGGGGATTGTTAGTAGGGACACCAACGCTGTCGGTGCAAATGGCAGTCTACGATTGTGTACCCGTCAACATAACCTTGTTTTGTGCATACACACGCAGTTACACAGTTGCACACGAGAATACTCATGCATGCATATGCATATGTGCATCAGTAGGTATGCACGTGTATATGTGTATTTAAACACATGCATGTATGTGTATAGGTACATGTGAGCATTGCCGGCTTAATCGAAAATAGTTTTCAAGTGTACCGGCAAGAAGACAGGCACAAACGTACAACAAACCAAATGCAGCTTTATATAAGACACTTACTTTTAACGAGATAGTATTCAAATTTTAATTCAAGTTTCTCGTTAATAAATAAAAGCAAATTTCTACGAATTTCATTTAAGAAAAGGCAGAGTTGCCAAAGCCTACTTATACAAAACGCGTTTTAGGCTTATTTAGGAATTTTATCACATATCACATGGAATTGAAATATTGTTTATGATTCCATTTAATAATGAACATGTTATTGGAAAAACTTGTTTTATATTGCATGAATTTAAAAATTAATACCTTTCGCAAGGGTATACAAACGCTAGCGTCTTACCCCGGATGATATTCTACTGCCCAGAAGCAGATACATATATTTATCTCGCTCTGACATCATGAATTTCTATGCGCAATGCAACAAAATGCCGAAAGAATTGCGCCAAAACAGTCGATGCGAATATACACAGAACAGAATGAAAGACGATGGCAGTGAAGCTGGATTTTATACAAATAATTTGCGAACATACATACTTATGTATGTATGCCTTAATCACAGTTTAATATTGAATAATGCATTAAATGAATGTACGACTTACCGCTTTTTGAAAGCGATTGCACTAGCAGCGATGTTTTTCGCACACCCTTTTGCTTATGCGACACAAGTTAGTGAAATTATCAAGCCACAAACATTTATAACTAGTGACCACACTATTTAAATACTATTCGTAGTCACGCACATTTTATTCGTATTCATTCGAGGCTTTAGCAAAAGGCCGCCGTCGTCTGCTTTTGCACATTTGGCAAATTTAACGATGAGTGTGACAGTACATTCGAACAGAAAAATGCAAATGCTAAAAGAACATATTGTGGAGGTCGCTCGATTATCCAGACAAAAATACTAAAAACGTATATCTACAAATATAATATCGATTGTTTTGTTGGCCTGCACAACGAATTTGGCGGAAAAGTAAATACTGGATTTAAATGTATGGCTATGCATAGCTATCGTTTTAATGAGAGGAACTTTTATTTTGTGCAATTAGCGGTTATTGTGATAAAATGTATGTTTATTTTCTAGACAAGCATTTTGATTGGATCAGTTGTTGCAGTTTACGGCGACAGGGTTCATTGCTCCCATCGCCTTGCAACCATTTCTATATGCGCTTCCCGTCGTATAAAAGGTATATTAGTTTGCGTAATGGCCGTCTGTAAGCGGGAATTAAAATTTTTAGCAGCTATTGAGAAAGATGATTACGAAGTAAATACTAGAAATGAGAATTAAATGCAAAATTGTATATCCAGCACATCTTAATATACATACCAATTGGATATTGAACTGCGAGTATCACGCAGTCGGCTATGCCCGATTGCAAATTTCCTACTTGTTTACTACTACACACATGCGCGGTGCAGCCAAACTGCCGGTCATGATTTTTATTAATGAAAATCTAACAGTTTTCGCCCTCAAACTCAGGGCTTGCGCGTTTCGCATACGCTGCTGCATGCGCCTGGCTCCCAGCCCAGTTGCAAGACGACAACTGGTCAAGGCGCACGAAAATTCGGAAATTTGCACAATTTGATTAGCGTGTGGAAACATAAACATCGAAACAATTTTATATGAAGTGAACCATTTGGCAAACAAAATATTTCTATTTAAAAAAAGACTGAAATTATTAAATCGCAATTTCGATCTCTTGGATCTGTGTGTGCTCTTGTGAAAACTCTATTACAATAATTGAAAAATAATATTTGAATATCTTAAAAAAAACTTTAATTTTTGGATGCCATTGAAATATTCCTCCTGAAAAAACTTAATCCTCACTACACGTAGCATTACAGATTTTCTTTGATTTTACAAAATAACAAAAAAAAAAAAAACTATAATTGTTTTATAGGTCAATTTTCATCCACACCTTAAAACTTTACTGCATTCAAACTTATATTTTCGCCCGAGCAAATTTATGTTTGTGTGTACTATGCTTCCGGTTGCTATGCACGTAATGGAACTATGCATAACGGAACTTACATAAACATCCCAATAGCATAGTCGACTGCGCAATACTCTGTTCACAGTGTAATAACAGATTAAGTTAGTCGAAGGGACTCTGCTGGATTATTGGGTTGGTAACGCCAAGACCTATTTCTGGCTCGATCTTTAGAGTAGTTCGCCACGATTCCCTATTCGATGACCTCGATGATCTCTGCGGGTGATATCAATAATGGGCGTGGCCAAATAAAACACAAAATTTGTTTATAGGCATACATAAATTCAAAGATTCAAGTATCCAGCCTCATTTGCGGCGTTAAAATTGTGTGTTTTGTATTCGCGGAGAAATCTCAAAAATTGAAAGGGCATTCCATAAACATTGCGTAAATTGCAATATTTTTAGCTAGAAAAACATTCATAACGTGATATAAGAACAAACGGCCAATTGATCAAAATAATATGTAAATAAACAATTTGTATTGTTAATTGTTTGAAATTCGCACGCTTCCCGACGTCTAAAATAACTTTGAATTTTCGTTTATTGTCGAATTATTCGAATTATTCGTTTTCCGTCGCGTTCGAGCTCTAAATTTCGGACGGACCAACGTTGACGCGAACACAGCGCTGGAGGTGCTACGACAACAGACTCGTTCGATTGCCGCACTCAAGAGGAAATCTCAACTCAAGGTAAATGAATAATGGTATGGGCCTGTGGTAGCTTGTGATAGCCGAGTACCTATTTGCCCTTTACTCTTGCTCTTTGTTTGTTGCTCGCTATTGACTGTGGAGTGGCCACTTGTGCCAGTTCCTCACTTTTATTCAATTTCGAGACAAACCAGGGCAAATTTTCATTTTTTAAAAGATTTGTCTTTCAGCGAATCTGCAAGAGTCTAGCTTGTTTAAATATGGAATATATGAAAAGTTGCAAAACGAATAGCCCAACACAACTAAAAGTTTCCATATTCAGATTTCTATCTCATTTTGCTATATTTTTACGATATTGCCTTGGTAAATGTTTCCTTGCAAGAGTCGATCTTTCATAACTTTTTATAGACCATTTAAGGTGTTATTAAAGATTCGATTATAAAAATATAAACAAAAAAAAGATAGATTAGCGCTTTAAGGATCTCTAGAGAGTAGTTGAGAATTAGCTGCTGCTTAACCCAAAAAAAAAGAAAAGTCATTTATATTTACCAGCTAAGGATATATGTCCGTTAGGATAGACTCCCCCGCATAAATACACACTCCGGAGCAGTTGCTTATTACATACACATATTTTTTACTCATACAACCCTAGCCGAACGCTTAGGGGCGACATTTAAACATAGTCTAGTTCTCGGGTGGCCCGTCGGAGTCGTGTTAGCCTTTGACTTGCGGCGCTGCGGTCAACCCGAAGTGAGTGCACTGCCCTGAATTAAAACACGCTCAAGGACAACAGCAACAGCAACAACAACTGCAACAGCAGCTGCAACAAAGAAAATGCCAGCAGCAACAAAAGTTGCCATTAATTGGCAGCCAACGCGGCGAATACGTAATTTGAGCAACCTTATGCATGTATGTGTGTTGCATATTTATATATATGTGTGTGCGCCAGCCTGACGAGTGCTCGGCCCTAAACAAAAGCCAATAAACAAATGCCTAACGTTCTACTTGCTTTGGCTCCCTCCAGACAATATAAAAGACATCACCCACATGCTCCGCCGTGTGGGTAGAGAATTGCTTTTTTATATATGTGTATCCTAATTAAACAACCAGACAGCCTTTCTGTATCTTCTACTCTTAGCCCAAACATTGGGCAATATGTATCCTTGTATAACTTTGGTGCTTATTTCTCGATTCCAATGGGATTCGGGGCTTACAAATGTAACTCGAGCCTGTTTATATATATTAAAGCAAAAGGATGTACCCACAAAAGTGAGTCTTTATCCGAGACCTCATATGCTATATGAGGTCGGAGATGCCATCTTGTGCACACACGTTTACACAAAACTATTATAGCCCATTTAACCCTTTTTCTATAGGTACAGGGTATTGGAAATGTAAGTTGCATTTTCATTGAAGCAACTTTGTTTTAAGTTCGGGTTTCGACTTGTCCTTCTGCGTTGTCTTTGTCTGTGGTTAGGGAGAGACAAGCACCACTGGCCAAGGCCGCGAGGATGCGTATGCCACAATCACAAGTTGTTGCCGGCACTGCATCAAGGACACTTGAGGGCCAAGCTAACCGCACTTGAGCTCTTCGGTGCTCGCTTCCATCTTGAAAGTGCGCCAGCGTCAGCATCAGCCGGATGTGGGCGACCATCGTTAAAGTTGCACCATGATGGACGGAGTCAACCAGATGCTTAACAGTGTGTGTGTGTGTGTGTCTGTAATAATCAGTTTAATCATGTGCAATTTTTTTAAAGGCATTGTAATACTCTCGCCGAGCGGGTACTATGTCTTGCCCGAGCCAAGTGAATAAATGTTACCCGTGCTGCCATGAACTCTAGGTCACTTAATGACCTCATCAGATCCTCGTTGATCTCCTCTCAAGTTGTGAACAGGGTATTTAGCAGCCGGTTTCATCTGACTGCAACGACATCTTAACATGCTAGGGTATATCATTTTCCGCGTGCCGCAGTTAAGCCCCATTACTTGCTTTATAATATTTTTAGCATGATCTTTTAACCTATGCTAATCTGCACTAACATTTAATCCTATTCTGCTTTTTGTGTTTTGATAGTTGTCGAAATGGAGCGAAGCCAAGACGGGAGAAGAAGGCGAAGGTAAGTTAACATAATCCCAAACTAACTCTGAACCGACATAGGCCATGTCTAACGCTTGCTTCTCTCTAAAATGTTCTCCAATAAGTCGAAATCGGCCGGATTGGACCGACTTAGCATTTATATCGCCCTGATAGGTGTATTAGCACAAACGTTTAGCTCCTTAGTTTGCTGGTCTAACGGGAACGAGCGAACATTTGAACATGGCGAAGGGAGCTGCGAGGCGCCAGCCCAGCAAGGAGGTCAAAATCAGTTAGGACCCTCTGTTAAAGTACACGTAGTTAGATTGTTTTTAGGTCAATCAATAGCGTTTCAATTGTTTGTGATTACTTTGTAACTGTAGAGGTGGCATACGTGAGTACGTGAGCATGTGGGTGTGTGTGCGAGTGTTGACCATTTTGTTGTTGGTTCGTAGCATGGCGTGTGCAGGACCTACGACAACCAGAAGCCACTGCACCTAGGCCATGTCCTGCGCAGTCTCAATTTCTCGAACTCACA